AAAAAAAAAAAACCCAGGAAGTACAGTGCTGTAAAATAGTATTACCCTTTCACGATTTATTTATTTTTATAATTTTCACACATACATGTTTCAGACAGTAGAAAAAAAAAGCAGAAATGTGAGAACAAACAACAGCTATGAAACATGCTTTCTAGGGCATAGTATGCAAACTTTCATGGTCACACTCTCACAATTTCTTTCCTCTACTGACACTGTGTGTGAGAGAGAGAGAAGGGAAGAGATAAGCCAACAAGAAAAGCTTCCCAACAAATATTTATTGCTCCTATTTTAGTGACGGAAAGATGCCAACTGACCTCAAAGTCCTGACCAAAGCCAAAGCAGCTGAACTCTGATACTAACTAGAGCTATGAAGTTTAAAAGATGTCACTGTTTAGCAGTAAGGGATCTCTAAAGACATGACGAGGTGACATTGTGTTTTCTGGAGTAAAATTCAGTATGTCTGGGTCTATCCTGCTAAACTTTCTCAATTTTTTTTTAAATCTCTCTGTTAAATGTTCTCAATTTTAAAAAAAAATCCACTACAATAAAAGCACTGTATCATTAGAACTAAACTAAATTAAAACATAAATCACTGGGCCTTTAACCTATGCCATGGTATAAAATGTGTCAAACCCTCTGAATGAGTTGAAGCAAAGTGAAGGACAGAGTCACTGAGTTCAGAAGAAAAACAGATTTTAACTTTATTGCTTAATGGAAGTCAGGAGTCATTTTTAACAACTAGCAGAAGATAGTGGAAATTATTTGATATTTTACAGGAGATCTAAGCCATCTGTTCCTCGTTGACACTGAGCAGCAGTGGAAGAAGTTGTAGTCTGCCAGCACCATGCCTTCCTGAATCTTTTTCCTCTTGTTTAATAGATTGTTTAGCACAGTGCCGCTCATCCATTGTCTTTATTTCCTTGAGCTCCACTTTGAGCAAAAGAAAAATGACAAATGGGACAGTGGGGCCAACAAACGAACACTGAAGAGTGATGGGGTAAAACTTGTGTTCCACCAGGGTACAGTTTTGGTAAGCTTTAGCATCCTGTGATGAAGCAGGGCGTCCTTGCTGGGTAACGAGACACCAGGAAGAACCACAGAGCTGCAGAGAAAGGAGTCCATGTCCCACAGGGAACAGATGGTGGTCTGGGAGAGCAGTGCTGGTAAAATCTTTGATTTATTTATGAGTCTCAAAGGGACACTCGTGGGATGAGTGTGTACAGGAGGAAGGTGGGCACAGTGTGTGTGTTTTTCAGCGGGCAATTTTGTTTGAGAGGTGGGGGAAGTGGCAAGATGAGCCTCTTCCTCCTATGAATAATAAATTACTGCTGCTAAAACGGACTGTTGTAGAGTGTGAATGTGCGCACATACACACACAAGCTGTTTTGACAGACGGTGTTATTTTAGCTGCACAGCTGCAAAGACGGCCGATGGCCTGAATAGAAACATCAATATACATTATGGTTATTTGTCATAGTGGTGCCCGTAAATAACACCTTAAGAACCTTATTAACCCAGAAACTAAGAGAATAACAAATAATACATAATATAGCACAGAGCTGAGTAGCGAAAACAGCTTATCAAAAAGTGTTAACTAGCCTAAAACCAAAGAGGGGGCTGATTCTCTGATCGTATAGTCTATGGTTGCAGTCTATGAAAATAGCTCACATCACTAGTTTAATGCCTTGGTAAATATAACATCATGCTCATATTGTATCAACAAGTGGTTAAGTGGTTGCCAGTAGTGATGACAGTTTTAAGATAAGCATTTTTCCAGCTCAGTCACCACACCTAACAGCCAGATCGTCATATTATTCGGCTGTTGGGTGTGGCTATATCCTAGTAATCCACAGTAATCGTGATCTGGTGTCTGTGGTGTCTCAGAGTCAATGGGACATTCTTCTACAGCTTGGCATGACATTTCATTTACTTGAATCACTGTAATTATTAATAGAGATGAAGACATTTTAAATGTTTGGTTATACTGGGAACTAGTTTTATTTACCAGTCCTGATTTCTCACCCCAAATTTGAAATCATTGTTTCTCTTGACAAAAGAAACTGTTTAATGTGACTCATCCTCAACATTCTGTACTAAAATCAGTCAGTGCACTCCTAATTCTGTCTTCATGCCTTCATGGGTTATAGGGCACTACACTTACCAGGAAGTCTGTAAGATAACCTTAACGCTAATCTCTGTTCAAGACTCTGGATAGCTCCCAAACTCATCTTCTGTAGGTTACAGTCTCCGTCACCAAGTGCATACCTGTTCTGTGTGTGTCTGAAGAAGCTAGGGATGAGGTGAAATTTCAAAGATACGCACACACAATACAGCCACCTTTTACCCAGTGAAGTAGATGTGAGGTAGTCCCTCTGCGCAAACCTCATCACATTCTCTCTAAATTTTACATCATGGAGTTTAACAGGTGGATTCTTGAGCTATAGCTTGTTCCCTGTTCTTATCTGCTCCTGACTTGGCTATCTCCTTCTGTCGAGTTGCTTGAATCCTGTCACACAGCCCACATGTAGACTTTCAGAAACCTCACAGTTAGTGTAGTTTATGTCTGTTATAGCTGACCTTTTTACTTTTTTCACTTCTTCCTACGTGTCCCCATCCTTTTTGATTTGTTTCTCCTTATATTTCCTCTCTGGTCTCCTTCCTCACCCCTTCATCTGTCTGTGTTGTTTTGCTGTCTTCGACACTAACAGTGACTGACATTGACTGATGTGCTCTCTTCTTTGGCGTGAGTGCACCGGACACAGGAGTTGCAGGGTGGGGAAGGAACATTTGAGTAAGAGAGTCGGTGTGTAACACCATCTCTTGCCAATAACATAATAACAAGCTTCTGCTTTACTATCAGCGAGAACATGTGATGCTTTGTTTCAGTTTCAGAATGAATCTCTTGGAAAACCACAGGAGTGTTGTAGACACAAGCATAATTTTGAAACTAGTTTAAAAATTTCCTCTAATGCCATGTTGTGGATATTTTTTAGGAGTATTGCAGAGCTGTGGGCATTGCATTAGCAGAAAGGGAGAATTGAGAAGGCAACAGAAGAAACAAGGGAGCAACTGAACCAGCACGAGCAGGCACTTCTTCCCCGCTCTCGTCTCTCTGCTTGTCACAGCTTTGCCAAGATGAAGCTGAAAGAGGACCTGAACCCCATGCTGCTGCTCCTCTTCCACCTCATGGTGTGGATCTACACCGTCATCACCTTTCTGCCTTCCTACCTCCTTAGCTGGGTGTCCAGACCTGACGGGAGTTTCTACGGCTCAGAGGAGGAGAGAGCCAAGAGAGCCAAAGCTCGTTCGGTCCTGGGACAACCAGAGGGACCATACCGAGCAGTGAGCTCCATGAAGAAGCTGGTCACATCTCTACATCCGGGAGTGGACACACTGGATAAGATGTTCGAGTACGCAGCCATGAGGTTCCCCCACAGAGACTGCCTTGGGACAAGAGAGGTGATTAGCGAGGAAGATGAGCGACAAAGCAACGGGAAGGTGTTCAAGAAGGTAAAAAATGATACGGAAGTGAGGAAGTAAATGTTGTAGTAGCAGTGTAGCTAAAAAGGGGCTATCCAACATTTTATTACAGGTACTTAAAGGACTACACACTTTTATCTGTCCCTTAAGTATGCAGCTGCAAACAGCATTTAAATTTAAGAAGTATGTCTGCTTACAAATGGGGTAATAGAAATAGCATAAGAAGGTGCACAGAGAGTGATATTAGAAGTGGCACGGAAACTGAAAGACTCACTATGCTGTTGCAAGTTGTGGGGTTGGAAGTTGCATCTAGAGCCGGGAGAACGGTGGAAAAAGGAAGGATTGCATTCGTTGAATCATCAAGAATAAAAATATTGATTTTGAAATAAGTAAAATGGGTACAATTTCAGGATTTGTCAGGAAATATCTTATGAAAGGTACCGTATATATAAAACACAAGTTTTATATATATCCAACGGATGAATATTTACCATTTTGATCAAGGTCTTTTTATTGAACAAAGAATTGCTTCCAACAACAATTATGGCAAAATTAACAAACAGTTGTGCCCCCACCCCCCCACCCACCCAGAACAGTGTAACTAAAACCCAGCCAGAGAGGAAAGGAGAGATAAAATAACATAAAATAAAATAAAATTACAGATACAAAGTAAATAATAAAATAAATGAACAACAGCAAGAGAAAAAAAACAAAACCCACTCACACGCACATTAAGCAATAGTATCCGGACTTAATCTTTCAAAGTAAGTAAGAAAAGGTTGCCATGTGTCATAGAACCTCCGAACCGAACCTTTTACAGTGTAGCGGATCTTGTCCAGCTGAGTATAGTACATGACATCCTTAACCCATTGCCCATATACAGGTGGAAGTGGCTCTTTCCATTTCAATAATATCATTCTACGGGCCAAAAGAGTGCAGAAGGCCAGAAGATCAGAGTGTGATTTGGAAAGACTGGCATCACAAGGCGTCACTCCAAAAATAGCTATAAACGGGCAGGGTGCAATTGGAACACCACATATGTTGGACATGGTTTCAAATATGCTTTTCCAAAAGCTACCCAGTTTTGGACACGCCCAGAACATGTGAAATAGGGAAGCAGGCTCTCGTTTGCACCGGTCACATGTGGGGTCAAACCCATCCTTGATTTTGCTCAGTCTAGTTTTAGACCAATGGAGACAATGAACAACTTTGAACTGAATCACCACATGTTTAAGGCAAATAGATGACGAAGAAATTCTATTGATTATCTTATGCCAAGTCTCATCTGTAATCCGTTGGCCAAGATCACTTCCCCATCGTTCCCTAAGTGATTGCAATGTGGACAGCCTAAAATTACTTAACAGCTCATAAACCTCACTTATAACCCGCTTAGCATTTGGTTTAAAATCAAAAATATCATCCAAAAGGGAAGGAGGTGGACAGGACGGAAAGCAGTCAGTATTAGAAGCAACAAAATTCCTGAGTTGTAGATACCTGAAAAAGTGTGACTGAGGGATCTTGAACTTGTTCACCAGCTGTTCAAATGAGGAAAAGATATTGTCCGTGAAAAGAGCAGTCATTGACGTTATTCCAAGCTTTGTCCATATGTTAAATGCCTCGTCCGACAAGGATGGGGAGAACATGCAATGTCTATGCGGTGGTGCATTAAGAGAGAGTTCAGTCTGTTTAAAGTGCCGTCTGAGCTGATACCATAACTTCAGTGAGTGGACAACAAGAGGATTCGTGGTGAAGCTGGAGATCGGTCCCGCCAGAGGTAACCTGGCACACAGCAAAGACACCAGGGAGGATTGACTCACCGACAGCCGCTCCAGTGTTACCCATGATGATGATAAATTATCATGGTCTTTTATCCAGTACAATAACGCTCTTATATTAGCTGCCCAGTAATAAAACAGAAAATTTGGGAGTGCTAAGCCTCCTGCGCTCCGCGGTCTTTGTAATACACTCTGTTTCAGCCTAGGTGGTTTTTTGTTCCAAATGAAGGAGGAGATTTGACTATTTAGATTATTAAAAAAAGACTTGGTTAAAAAAATTGGAAGACACTGAAAAAGATATAGAAATTTAGGAAATATAGTCATCTTAATGATATTCAATCTACCACCCAGCGAAAGAGGCAAGGACTCCCACTTTCCAAAATCCTCCTTTAGTTTAGACAATAAAGGAAGATAATTAGTTTTATACAAGTTTTTATGGTTCTGCGTAATCCAAATGCCCAAGTATTTGAACTTGTTATAGCTGAGCTTGAAAGGTGCTAAAATAGACGAAAGTTCCCCGGTTATTGTACCTAAAGGCATTGCCTCACTTTTCCCGAAATTCACCTTATATCCGGAAATTGTCCCGAATTCCTTAAGTACATCTAAAAGTTTAGGGAGGCTATTTGAAGGGTTGGAAATAAACAAGAGCATGTCGTCGGCATAAAGAGAGACTTTATGCTCGATATCCCCACGACGTATTCCCTCAACCTCAACACTTATATTCCCAGTGGATCTAGAGATACTAAATTGCAACCCATAAACACCTTTGTGTGTAGCTCCATGTAGGAAAATTGCATCGACAGTGGTTCAGTTATAATTCATATTTTCATAATGACTGTGGTATGGATCTGTGAACTGCATTAACACCCAGCGTGCAAACCTCATTTAAAGCTTGTTTAAACAAGCTTTGCCTCATTTCTTTATCTAGTGTGAGTTATGTTAGCAACGTGCCTGTTAAAGCATAGCATTGAAATACATGGCACCTTTTCTTTAAATCTAACAGGCCCAGCTCTCAGCCCCCAACCTCACATTTAAAAAAACATATTTTATGTATTACCTGAAAACCAGCTACGCAATGTAGCTTTTAATAAAAGTTACTCACTCTAGACTAAAAAGAGCTTTTGCTGTGAACTATTTTCATCTTCAGATTACTGTTTATTATTGAAGGATCCTGTTATTCAAGTGCAACGCTGTGCAACACTGTGGCTCAGTCGTGTATTTTAGAGAGTTATTACTCAATGTGTGGATTTCTATGGTGTAAATGGTAAATGGCCTGTATTTATGGACCAAAGCGCTTTACATATCCAGTCATCCACCCATTCACACACCCATTCACACACTGGTGATGGCAAGCTACATTGTAGCCACAGCCACCCTGGGGCGCACTGACAGAGGCGAGGCTGCCGGACACTGGCGCCACCGGGCCCTCTGACCACCACCAGTAGGCAACGGGTGAAGTATCTTGCCCAAGGACACAACGACCGAGACTGTCCAAGCCGGGGCTCGAACCGGCAACCTTCCGATTACAAGGCGAACTCCCAACTCTTGAGCCACGATCGCCCCGTGGCGATATGGTGTGATATGAAAACATCATATCCATTGGATAATAAGCAAGAGATTGCATAGCCATGTTGGACAGGGTGTCAGTCAGTGTAAGGAAGCCTCTGATAGGGACTGGGCAAAGAGCAGAAGGATTCTGAGATGTCAATCAATAGGCAAGCTGTCGAGCTTACAGCTTTCAGAAACTAATGAAGAAAAGAGGAGGATTTTTCATATTCTAAAAAATAAAGTTTGTAAAATTCCAAATGCCTTCAAAATGTTCCTCTGTGACTTCTCTAGACAAACCTCTTGTTAATGTTTAAAATGTTCAAAATCCACTTCCAGATGCTGCTACTCTTTCAGCTGACAGCTTGTCTACTAGACCACTTATTTCCTTCAACCTTGCAAATGTTAGGACAGAGGGTAGAGTATGAATACGAAGTAGCAAAATCAAAACAGTAAAAAAAAGTATTTGTTATTAATCCAGAATTAGTGTAAATTGGAGCAGAAAGAAAGGAAGAAGACTTCTGCTTTCAAGATTTTTGGCTACATGTTTTCTTCTTCAGTGTGCCTGCACAGTTAGGTGTTTATGTTACTTGTGAATTACCTCATTAAATCCAGTGGCCTGATCCCTGTAATCCATTGAGTCTCCACTGTTGAAACACTTATTGCTGCAATAGTGCATAATTAGGCTGTTTAGCTAGCTATTGTTCCCAACCAGTGGAAAACAGCACCGTGTAGTCACTGTGGCTCTGTGTCCTTCTGCATGTTTATGTGCACTGACATTTCTTAACCGTTAGGAGCCGGTATAAGCTCACTAATACATGTGCAGGCAGCTCTCTGAACATAATGTGTGAGTGGTGAAGAGAATATCCAGAAGCCTATGCTTATCTTTCTCTCGTGCAGCTGATGACCGTGACATGCAGCAGCATGAGAATGACAGCAAGAGGAAGTACTTCTGTTTGGCAACAGTGGACAGTTGCTCCCTTTCCTGTGACTTCTTAATAAGGAACAGGCCAAGCATGTGACTGTGGGATGGGACACAGGAGCAGGGCTTTGCAACAGTTCAGTGGCTTTTTTAAGGAGATAATAGATTTGCATCATTCCATCTTTCAGTTTCTTCCCATTCATCTTTTTCCTTGCTCGGTTCCTTTAATAAAACCCTGTATATTTGACAAAATGAATGAATAAAACCCATTAACACTTATACTTTGTCTTCATTGAGACTGGAAACAGTTTTCTCTTACTTGACAGCAAGATATTTATGCGTCTTTCTCCGGCCTCCCCTCTTTCCAACACCCCTGCAGGTAATTCTGGGCGAGTACTGCTGGCTCTCCTACAAGGACACCCTCACTGCAGCCTCCCATCTGGGCAGCGGTCTGGCGGCGTTGGGGCAGCGGCCTAAAACCAACATCGCTATCTTCTGTGAGACACGAGCAGAGTGGATAATAGCTGCCCAGGCTTGTTTCACATACAACTTCCCATGTAAGTCCAGGTTTCTCTGAGGACTTAAACATGCGGCGAACATTGCATACATAATGCTAACACAAGGACAGAAACATCGATCTCTCTATACTACTATGCATCTTTTTGTTTCATATGGACTTTCCATTTGCCCTCCTTTACACTACAGTGGTCCCTCCTTTATCACGGGTGTTACGTTCTAAAAAATAACCCGCAATAGGTGAAATCCACGAAGTAGCGAACTTTATTTTTTACAATTATTATAGATGTTGTAAGGCTGTAAAATCCCTTTATATACTTTTCTCAGACAGGCATCGACATTTTCCACACGTTTCTCTCTTGTTTAAACACTCTCAAAGTTCTCTCAAAGAAAAATACATCCAGTATTATAGAATGAAACCAAAGATCACACTCTGTTTTCAGGCCCAGACCCTGGGAATAGAGCAGCTGCGAGAGAATACAACATTAATGAATCAATGGTACGGAAGTAGAGGAAGCAAGAAGAATGAGTTGAGTAAAGTTTGACTTATCCGACTGTTTGGTTTCGCTTAATGTGCCTTATAATCCTTTGATGTCAACACTGTTGTTTTTGTTTTCTTCTGCTAGCAAAGATTTAAATTTGACAAGCTGGATGCATTCTGTACTGTACAGGAGACACGGCACGAGACTGAATGAAAATGGTCTACAGCCGATCAGGACGCAGAACACAATGCGCTGTAAAAAAACAAAAAAAAAAAACCCATGCAAAATTGCACAAAAAAAAATCAGCAAAACAGCGAGGCTGCGAAAAGTGAACCACGATGTAGCGAGGGACCACTGTATACAGATGTGTAATGGAGAGGAGTGTGTGTCTGTGTGTGTTATTTTGGGTCCTGTTGCCAGTGCAGCCCGAGCTGCTGTCAGGTACTGTTAGTTTTTCTTGGTGTTACTTGTGACAAATGCTACTGACATTCAGCCTACAATCCACCCTTATAGCAGTATGTCCAGAGCTGAAGTTAAGGCCTCCTCAGTTCAGTGTTACTTCAGAAGTAGGCGAGCCCAGATGTGGGACACAGGAGGCATCAGCTTAAAATTACAAACCCAGTCAGGTACATAAAAACACAGGGAAGAGGTTATAGGTGAGAATCACCAGACACCGAATGATACAATATTATCACAATACTTAACTCTCGATATGCTGAGTATTTCAGTAATATATATTGTGATTAATCATGTTTTCTCACTTCAGTTGTTTTTTTGCTGAAAAATAAGATATTCAAGCATACCAACACTGTCACTAAAACTGCAATACATGTTCCCATAAAATGGAACCCATCTGATAACGGTCTGATATTACTCACATATCTGTCTGCAATTGTATGAGGTCAATTTATGACAATTATATCCTATTTATTTCTGATAATACAACAATTAACTGCAATAAAGCATCAAAAATCACATACCCGTTGCTCTCTACATAGACAGAAATTTGCATTTAATATTTACATTTGCACTCTGAAACATTTGTATTCTACAGAAACATAACAACCAGCACTTGAGTTGTGCTCGGGTGCAATCACATTGTGATCATAAGCGGCCATGAGTGTGCAACAGCCTCAACTCTGGGCAACCATTTAACCATCACAAGCCATAATTAGTCACAGAATGTGGAAAAAAAGCAGCCACCAGTTTGTTTTTTTGGAGATGAAAGGCGGTTGCTGTCCTATTTTATGTGTGACTGAGCTCTTAGGAGGAAGATTTGTTTCCAGTGTTTCCAGTGTTGATGTTTCAAGTTTTCTTAGATAATGTTATCTCAGGAGTGTGGTGAAGGGGATGAGCTCTCTCAATCGTAGTATTTTTTTTAGAGTAGTTGAACTTATTATTTTTTTTAAATATTGATATTCGGTGTCCCTGTATGGATACAATATTGCCAAACAAAATATTGCAGTGCTCTGCTGTATGGATTTTTTTCCATTACTCCTACTGTTTTGTTTTTTTTTTAATTCAGGAACAAAAGAAAGAAGCAATAAATAAAGTAGGCTCAATAGAATGGTATGAAAGCAATAAACAGACTCGTGATGTGGGAAACTGCTGGACCACATTCACATGAGGGACTGATTGGCTCATAATAGACATCCCAGTATCAATAAACATGCACCAGAGGCACTCAGACACAAATTGTAACACATCCTGGATAATTTTATTAGGGAACTAAAATGTTTTATTTTAGATAATATACCAACCTTGTTCCCACAACAATTCCAACTATACTTATAAATTGACTTGTAGTTATATTGCTTTTCTACTACAAGCTTCATTCACACATGCAACACTTTTATTTTATGCCTTTAGATGCTTTGTTATCATCATTATCATTATCAAATTTTGGCCCATAGACTGGATGAGCCAGGAATCGAACCCTTAAACCTTTCATTTAGTATCTGACCCACTCTACACTTGTAAGCCACAGGTACCTGCCGTGTAACTTTGTCATTCCCCAAGTAAAAGGTGTTTGATGTATTCACAGGTGTTACAGTAAAAAGTCCTAATGAAGAGTATCTTTTGAAAGTTAAGAGTGCCTACAGTAAAACAGGCTGACAAATGGATCTGCTTTTTTCACGGACATACAGATAATTTGTACATTATCATGTGCTTTCAGTTTTGGCTATATGGTTTGTATTCTCTGTATTCTCTTCCTTTTGGTCTTTCCCTCTGAGTAGCTCTAAATAAGTCTGGATGTGGCAGATTTATAGCCATTTTTGTGTGTGTGCATGTGTGTGTGTGTTTGAAAATGTGTTTGTGTGTGTTTGCATGTTAGTGGTTTCATGTTAGCGGACAACTTGTAACATGGAGGGCCCAGCTGAGACAGAAGAAGGTCAATTTGTCCCTTCTGCTTCGGCGTTATATAAGTGTCCCATTTCTCCTCCTTTGGTGCTTTCTCTTTTCCCCATCCGTTTTTCCCGAGTTCTTGTTAGGAAAAGATGCTCAAACGCTGACAAGAGTACATTTTTGAAAAAAAAAATTATACACTAATGGTGTTTGTACTTGTACGGCACTCATACACTTAGCAAAAACGTGTCTTGTGTAATGGAAAGTGCTTCGTTCGGTGTAGTTTTTCATTTCTTCCACTGAATGAATCATTCAGTGTTAGGCAAAGCTGATTTAGCTTCTTAATGTGTGTTTCTGGGGACGTCAAGAATCACGACAATAAAAGCCAGCGAGGATTACTTGGAAGAAAGAAAAGCAAAGCAAAGATCTTCTCTCGCTCTGAATAAAAACGTTAATAATCAGAGAGAGCAAAGCAGCTGTGGGCTTCAGCATGATTTACTCTTTAATATGTTCCATAGCAAAGACTGCAGCACCTTTTATTCATCACAAGCTTCAACGGCAGTTCGTTAAATCTTTTTGATTACCCATAAAGGACCCTTTTGTTCGGGCTATCCACTTTAATTTAAGCTCCATTAAACTGTCATTCTCATAAAAGACACAGCCATCCAAGCCAAGAAAGCATCTTTATATTTCATCTTCCTCTGATGCAAACACAAACAGTGGGAGAGTGGAAAAGTCAGGGGCAGTGGACAGCACACAGAGGCCTTAAAGGTTGGAAAGAGCAGCAGAGGAAGAAACAGAGGGGAGGAAGGAGAAGAAGACAAGTGAGGGCCAATGGCGTCAGAAGAGGGGTGAGAGAGTCTACGTGAGCATCTGATGTTGACAGAGGCATCAAGGAGTCAGCCAAAGGCCCCCAGTGAACTCACATACTTAGTGTGTGTGTATGTTTTCATTGTACTTCATATTCACTGTACATTGGCTCAGAAGGCCAACTTTTGTGAGCTGTCTACTCTACCGTATATAAGTTACATAAAAGGTGTATCACAAGCATCAGCTGCACAGCAGAGCTCCCCCTCACAGAGTCAAGGATAGGCTTCTCTTTCACGATGTCATTTGTTGTATCAAACTAAAAAAAGAAGAGTCCAGACTCCACTTTGTTGCTACTTAGTGGAATCTGGATGTTTGCTAAGCTTTCTGTACTAACATCTAGTGTGTGACAGTGTGTGTATGTGTTAAGCTTGGGCCACATTGAATGTTTAGATCTCACGGCTGGAGGTGTCATGGCTCTCCCTCTCACACACACGGTCACCCGCACACAGCAGCAGCGCAGGAAGTGTTGGAGCTCCATGACGCAAGATTTTGATGTCACAAATCCCTGTCCCATAAACCCCTGTGTCTGTGTCAGAGCCGGGACGCAGGGTTGCAGACTATGTTATTCTGTGCTAGCCTGCTTCTGTTGCTGTCAGTTTATCTACTGTTGTTTCCTCTTGTTACTTTTTTCTCCTTCTTTCCTTCCTCTGTTTTTTTTGTCTCCTGCTCTCATCTTTTAAAACAAACACATTCTTCAGCTGAGCGCTAATTATATTATGTTCTTTTCAGTTTTTCTGTGTAAATGTGCATCCTGTCTAATGTGAAGAAGAAATAATTGCAGTTTTTATAAAATGTATTAAGTTTCAGGGAATCAGTCACAACAAGGACATGCAGCAAAAGCTTTTTTTAAATCATAAGAATGAAGAAAATTTGAGGCAAACAATTAAGTCAATCACAGTTATGTTAGTACCCGTTAAGTACCTCAGTGAGACACCAGGCTGAATAATAATCGCAAGCTGGACACGAAGCAAAATCAGTACTGTTATTGTTTTTATTTAACAACTTGAAGGGGGGAAGGGGGGGCGGTGGGGTCCATGCAGGAAGAGACTAGAAGCAAACAGAGAACAAATTCTGCAACATGTGGTGTCAACAGGTGAAATAACCATTAGTGACACAATGCGAGCAAGTCCCACAATAACTTTGAGTCAAGCAATTGAATTTATTTAGAATTAAATCACAACAGCATTCACCTTAATAACATAAGGAAAAGACTATAACATTAAAGAACTTGCCAATAGTCATTAGCAAGCACTAGGTGATAGCAAGAAACCTCTAAGAGGTCCAAGCTCAGGGAGGGGCAGCCATCTGCTGTCACGAGATGGGGGTGAGGGGAAAGAGAAGGGGAAATTGAAGTGATAGAATTGAAGTGACTAATAATGAAAGCATAGGATACCAGTGAATTTGGAATATCTGCTTATGCATGCAGCGGTTTATATATTTAGCTAAGTAAAAGAAAAACAATTGTAGGAATCATATGGATAGTGAAGTGAGGTTTTATTGTCTGTATTTTAGTTGTGGAGGATTAAAATGTCTTTTAATGGGCCTGTGGTCCTGTTTTCTAAAAATGCACAGTATTCCTTGTTGGGTACAGGTAAATGTTTATGGTCTTAAATTTGCTCTAAAAATTGACAGAGTGGAAAAAATGCAAAGGAAGAAAGAGACCATACATATGGTGAACATTTGGTATGGTGTGAACATATAACACACACAGCCAATCAAACATGCATAAGAAGATTGAAGGGAAATTGTCCAAATTTAAATAAGTGTTTTTTAATGTTGTGATTTTTAACCCCTTTTTGATTATACTTCTCTAGGGAAACCATGTTTTTTTGCCCCAAGTAGAGAAGATAAAACCTTTATTTTAACTTTCTTCTGCTGAGAAGTTTTGTAAAAGCACATAAACATAATTCACTTAAAAACTTTATGATCTGCGTTTGGGAATTTAAACTACATACTCAGTTGTGCTTATGATCTGGGGATATTTTTGTCATGTTTTGAGTCCCTTTGATCATTTTTATTCCCTTCAAGGCAAATAATGCTGAAACATCCAGTGATATTTTAGAAAATCAAAAGCTTCTAAATTTGTGGCACTAAATCGGGCCGTTTCCTGTTTAAAAATGACATGACCCTTCATGCACATGCAGATAGCACAAAGAACGTGAAGAACGTCTGTACAGAGTCAACATAGTCGACCCCATACAAACACCTCTGGTTCCAAAATACAGTTTTATAAAGATGTTAAACAAGCACATATAGGTGCATCATTTGGGTGTTCAGAGTTTGACCAGTCTTCAGATCAAGTCTTCCCAAAGAAGCACAATGTTGTGTAACCAAAGTAGATCATATCCATAACATATGAGCCATGAGGCAAGAGTCAATATCTGGTTTTAAAGGACGGCTTGAAACGCTAACCCTGGTTTGCTGAGTGCATGCATTCATGCAACCACACAGTGCTTCATTAGACATATGCACTTAGTCAAAACAGTAAACCCTCTCTAACATCAGTACTTGTTTATATCCCCCAAAGAGTACTTATCATGCAACGAGAGCCGTTTGGCTCGGAAGCTTTAGCAGCAGCCTCTGGAGGTGCCTGAAGAGCTCATCTGAGTGAGAGGGGCCTAAATCAGGGACACTGAGGATTGTAGACAGTCAGCACGTACATGGTCCATCTTCACATGTCTGCGCGGTCACTGTGTTCACACACAGACAGGCTTGTCTTGAATTAACGCAGTTTAGATAAACAGCCCATCTTGCCTCTTGCACATCACATTAAGTCCACCTTTGCCTCACGCTTCATAGTGGCAGATGAGTACATTTGGATGTGGGTCCTGTGTATGCATGTATATATTTTGCTGGACTACGATGTGGAAAGCAAATTTGCCTGTGGGGCCATTAATGTTTTAGTCTATTATACTCTAATGCGCTTTTTCTGTGTCCCTGTGGGTTGCAGTGGTCACCATTTACTCCACATTGGGAGGTCCCGCCATTGCCCACGGGCTGAATGAGACTCAGGTGACCCACATCATCACCAGCAGGGAGCTTCTGGAGACCAGACTCAAGGTTAGAATACACAGAGTAAATTCTCTCTGCAAATCTTTTTTCACAGGAAATTTATTTTTCATCACAAAGTATAAGAAACTACTAGACAAAGCCGTATAAAGCAGCGAACATTACAGTGACAAACATCATTGTGTGGACAAATATCTCATATATCTGATCTTCTGAGGAAACGTCGGAGCCAAAGAGCCAAAGAACACAATGTTCAGCGCTGACAGAACAGAGAAGTTGCAGCGTCCCATAACAGAGTTGTAAATGTTAGAAGACACGTGCCGACTACTTTGGCATGTTTTGGCCAGGTTCAGTGCCAAGACAAGCAGTGCTCCTGCAGTTCATCTTTCCATTTTTATTGAGGCGGCATAAACAGAATGTTCCTTTGTTCACTTGTTCACAGAAAAACCGACTCTTTATCTTTTGTCAATATAGAAACAACATATATCAAGATGCCATGTTTGTTGTGTGTGTGTGCGTGTGTGTGTGTGCGTATGTGTGTGCGTGTGTGTGTGTGCGTGTGTGTGTCTGTGTGTGTGTGTGTGTGTGTGTGTGTGTCAGGCCATCCTAACAGACGTTCCAAGGCTGCAACACATCATTGTAGTGGACAATGCACCGACTGCGTGGCCCGGCTATCCACGTGGCATCAGCATCCACAACATGGCTGCGGTTCAGAAGCTGGGAGCCAGGCACGAGAATGGTAGGCTTTGTCTGTGTGTCTGTTCATTGATTTATGTGAAGTTTGCTTTCAAGAGTTCATGACTCACAGAATTAGGATTGCTCCGTTTTAAAACATTAAAAAAGTATTTAGCTGCTTGCCCATTAAGAAAAAGGTTTTCTCTACAGTTTTGTGTATCATGGTGAGTCACAGTGACAATTAGTCACCACACTCCACTTGAGATAAAGCACTTTCTTGCAGGACATTAACAGTGTAAACAGATCTATGTAGTGTTTAATATTTTCCACGTTACTTCACTATGGCAAAATGCCATTTTCCAGTGAAGGATTTTGGAGCTCTAAGGAGGCATTTTGATCTGAAATTGTGGCCTTAACTATAGTTTGACAAAAAAAAACCTCTTAAAATCCTTTAGAAGTACGGTGTGAATATTTTTTAACTGAAATAAATAAAAGACGCAAAATATGAGAAGAACAACAGTCATACACTAAATCAAATAAAATACAAGTCATAAAGTTTCATAAGGTGTCACTGAAGAGAAGAAGAGATTGAAAGAAGAGCTTTAAAAATCAGACAGAGGCCGGCCTAATGTGCAAAGGCAGATCATTCCACATTCTGGGAGCCACAACAGTTTTAAGCACACTCAAGAGCAGTTCATCAGACGAAAACGGGTGGGTGCAAAAGAATGCAGGAGCTCAGAGAGTTGCGGAAGGGCAAGACCAATGAGGCCTTTAAAAGGGAAGAAAAGACATTTAAAATGAATCCTAAAATGTTAGGGCAGACAGTGGAGTGAGGCTACAATGGTTTCAGAATCAGCCTGGAAACAGTCGGCTTTGTTTTGGCCAGCTGCCTCAATTGGAAAAAGCTTGATTTAGCCACTGCCCTGATCAGCGGCACACAACACACCATATTATTTGTCAGATAATTCCACTGTAAAAGCTCCAAAAGGCTCCAGCAGCACAAACACAGCTGAAGGGTCCAGTTCAGTGACTTCAATCAGTGTTCATGAGGCCTAGCAGGGATCAGTCAGGTGTAGCTGCCACTGTCCACACCTGACAGTCCAAGCATCCACCACTCATGTGGCTGTTTTGAAGAGGAAACTATCCTTACACTTCAGTATCAGGCTCTAAACATACTTTTTATTACAGTTAGTTTTTTAACACGCGGGCATACAGGGACTGACTCTCTTTTGGATGCAGCCTGACTAGAAGAACTGCAGAACTGCCGCTTCATTTTTGTTTTCCTCTGAGGTTACAGCCAAGCTCAAGTCAAAAGAGAGCTACACCTACACCACACAGCTGTCCTAACTTTGCTAGTGTGGTTTCTGTGACTAAGCAGCGCTCTGTTAATGGATCTGGCAGGATTTCTGGTGGAAACCAAACTTTACATTCCTCCCTGTGCCACTTGGGACACGGACAGCAGCTTGCAGTGCTCCTGTTTTCCCATGGATACAGATTTTCAAAACCGAATGTCTATTTCGTTTATTCAGTTATATATACACATTTAATTATTTTTCTTTTAAAAGTGTATTCATCAACATCATCAACTAATAAAATGACAGCTGGCCACTTGGGGGCAGCAGAAGCAACCTACAACACACTTGTTACAAGCTTAAAGTGAATAAAAGAAAATTAAACAAATCTATTAGCAGGCAGGGCTGTTATAACTTATAAAAGACAAAAAAACAAACAAACAGCAGAGCGCCTTGAAGAGAAGCACCTTTCCAACTAAGAGGTCCTAAAACACTACCGTTCACAGCACATGTGTTTTAATCTGCCAGGCTGTTGACATAGCCTTCTCTTCCTCTCAAGTAAATGAAATAGTCAGGGCTTGTTTCTTGGGGGCATGGAGTGGGGGCAGATTGGTATCTGGTCCATTAGGTCATGTGAAGAAGGAAGTGCTAACATCTGTGTCAGATTAAGGTTGATACCGTGCATGCTCAGTTAGCGCACAGATAAGGAAGAGGCCATCACCCATCTTCACTTTTTATTGAGGCCCCTTGAACTGACTGACCCAAAACATGTCTAGCTGGTAGAGTCATGTGCAGATAAAGGGAGAAGGAAGTAGGAAGGGAGGATAGAGCGCTGGGATATAGGCGAGGGTCATGTTTACACATGGCGCTATTAACTTCACATGACATCAGCTTTCGGAGTGCACACGCCTCATATCCACGTCTCTGGAGGGAGAGAAGCGATGTCTGCCCTTGTGACTGTGATGCACTTTACTTCATCCTTTGGTTTGTCAGTGCCTGCTGAGCTTGAGCCTCTTAGATCTGTTTTTGTTCTCGGCAGAAAGCGAAAAACAAAAACCAATCTCTTGTTTCCCAACTGGTTCTGTTCCCGCTGGAAACTGACTTGCTCTTTACTTATTTATTCAGACCGTAGGAGTCCAAGAGAGGGATCAGAAAGCAAGAGATTCATCATATTGTGCTCTGCTGTCTAGACATGCGAATGTCCTTTTCACTGCCTTTATCTGCTGTGTTCTTTGATGTAAAGAAACATTCACAGCAGCTTTTCTTGTACTTGATCACATGTTTTGATTGTTAACCTTACCTGCTGGGAGGCAGTGATGAAAACAGACTGCAACTGAAATCATGGGTGGAAGAGGAAGCTGTGTTAGGCCGCATTCAGCCTGACTGTGCTGAATGCATGAAAAAAGTCATGCACAACTTTTGCTACAGTGCAATGTCAAGGAATATACCAACTCTTTGCAGTAGCCAGTAAAACACATGCAGTTGTACAGTTCTTGGTAAAAGTTGGAAACCAGGAAGTTCTATAGTTTATGGAAAATTATCCTGCTTCTTAATTCCTTTATGTCCTCATCAAATCATTTCCTAATCATTTCACAGATTCAATCACTAGTTTTAAATCATATTGAATACAGAATGATGTTTCTGTATTCAAAAAATGATAAAAAAAAAAAAAAAAGCCTGGTTTCTTTGGGCAGGGCAGCACTGTGATTGACAGGTCACTACAATATATAACCGTACAGTGTTTGTCTTAGCCAGTGCTAATCGCATCTGGTGTCAAATCATCAAGATGATCATAAATACTTGACTAGCTGATGTGTAACATCTGTTACTCAGCGACGTTTTTTTGAGGACCGATACTCGAAAATCTAAAATTTATGCCTACATTCACCCTCAGCCTTGTGCACGCCACGTGACAGCTAGAAAATCATTCTCACGCAAATATGTTGGCCTGAAAGAAGATTTGGACCTACACACAGTTTTTAAAGTCTGCACACACCATACTGTTAACATACTTGTTATCAAATGGGCACAGCTCAAATAGTTTAAAAAAAAGGGGCAACCATGATTAAAGAGGAACAACCGAGCATAAGGAAGAGTATAAGGAGGGAGAAGAGAATAGATAAGAAAGGACAGACAGCAGCAAACGACATGAGAAAGAGAAAAGATGAACACGTGCAAATGGTGTTTTTGGCGAACGCACTTATTTAAACTCTGCATTGTGCCAGATGTGTTACCTGATTAGTTGAAATTAGGTTATTTAATTTCTGAGATAACCATTTAACATTTCTGTGTGTTTGACCCTTAAGTCATGGGGTTTTTCCTACATACAAAAAGACTTTTTTAGCCAGCACACACACAACAAATGAACCGTGTTTCTGGGGATTGTTTAAAAATTGGTTCATTTTTGTGCTATAAACCATTAATCCAGTTCTGCCACCGCCTTTCTCTGTTGACATTCCAGCAACACGTGAGTGCAAGACCCCGCTGCCCTCCGACATTGCAGTCATCATGTACACCAGCGGATCCACAGGCATTCCAAAGGGCGTTATGATCTCCCACAGCAACATCATCGCTGGGATTACAGGAATGGCCGAGAGGATTCCCAACCTGTGGTAAAGACCTCAAACGTGCTTATTATACCACACCCCGGGATATGGTCTAATAGTTTTGGGCTTTAAATGTAATGATTTTTGACTCATCTGTTTGTAAAATATGGAGGCAGTTTTGCAGGGAAATTCACTTTCCAAAGCAGCTTATCTCCTCTGCTACACGTCCAAGCAGAATCACCAGCCAGCAAACATACAGATTAGAACATGCCATTTAGGTTTGTTCATTAACAGAAGAGTGTGATGCACTGGATTACTGGAAGCAGAAGAAATATAATCAAAACTGTAATCAAAACACTGTAATCAAAACTAAGCTGAGGTCAATGTTCAAATTTCTCTCTTCTGCATGTTTCAAAGGAATATTTTAACTAACATTATGGGAAATGTGCTTGTTCAGCTGGTATCATCATGCAGCTCAATTGCTTATATTAAAAGAGAAACTGACCCGTCTCCGGGGATTAAGATGGGAGTGAGAGGAAACAGAAAAGGGAGGGAGTTTAGTATGAGTAGAGGAACAATGTGGGAGAAAAGGAGTCAGGGTGAGATGGATGGAGGTTAAAGGGGTTTAGTTGTGACAGTCTCAGTCGATCTTATGAAAATGCCGGCTTTCCTTTGTGGATTAAGTAACACGGCTATGTAAATCTCCCCCTCATTCATGGCTTGAATGTACAACATGTTCACTAAAATGGAAATTTCCCCAAAATTTGGTTGTTACTTGAGTTGAGATGAATATGTTTTCAGTAGGTGAGGCTGAACTCAAAGGAAATGTAGCTCATAAACAGTATATATCTTGAAAATATGACTAATGTATAACTTGCAATAGTTTGTCTTAGTACTGATTCAGCTTGATGAAATAAACGACTGATTAATTTCACTAAAGGGTCATTCCGTCTCAAATCAACCAACCAAATTCGAATTGAATATACAGACTGTAATATGATTGCTGTTAATTTCAGTTTTTTTTTAACAAATACCTTTTCAAATTATTTTTTTTCCAAACACCTATTGACCCACTTTCATGCAGTTTGCCTTGCACATTGAAATCTGTGGCAATGTTTGAACAATACAAAAAATAAAAATATATGCATATATATCTTAAAAAGTGTTTTATATATAAAGGTAAAGTTTTTACGCAAATTGGGAAAGGTGAAGCAGGAAGCCTTCTAAAAATTGTCTGACTTGAGATGGGATGACCCTAAGACCTTCATGTGGTAGTCTCAAACATTTAATAGCCCACATCAAATCGGGGGTTTTGAAGTCTGCGTGTGTTTTTAGTGAAGAAGACACCTACATCGGCTACCTGCCTCTTGCCCATGTACTGGAGCTCAGTGCAGAGCTCGTATGTGTGTCTCATGGCTGTAGGATTGGCTATTCATCGCCTCAGACTCTTGCTGACCAGGTAAAACCTCTCATCTGTATCATCTGAAGTGCATTCTGGTTTTAGGGTTGACTTTCATGTATCTTATATTCAATATATAGTGGTGAAAAAGAAAGTACACCCTTTGTCTGTTCTAAGATTTTATATATCAGGACATCTTTACCATGTTCTGAAACTATTTAAACACCACATCAGAAGAATAAGAACACACGACATATTACACTGTCTCATTATTCATTCAACAAAAAAAACTAAGCCAACATGTAGAAGCATTGTGTGAAAAACTAAGGCTACATCATGATTCAGCAGCTTGTAGAACCTTGTTTAGAAACAGTAACATCCTGTATGACTTTATCAGTCTCTCACATCATTGTGGAGGAATTTCGGCCCACTCTTCTTTACAGTCGTGCTTCAGTTCATTGAGGTTTGTGATACCTTTATGCGCCGGTCTCTTAGCCATAGCATTTCAGTCAGGCTGAGGTCTAGACTTTGACTGGACCAATGCAGCACCTTGATTTCTTTCTCTTTTCAGCCATTTTTTGTAGATTTGCTGCTGAAATTAGGATCATTATCCTTTTGCATGATCCAATTTCAGCCACACTTTAATTGTAGAACAGATGGCCTCACACAGGGCTGTAGAATACTTTGGTATCCAAGGAGTGCCCAGGTCATGTGGCTTAAAAACAAGCCCAAATCATGAAGCCTTATACAGTTGGTATAAAGTTAATATAAGGTGATTGTGCTGTGTATGGCCAGACATCTCCACTTTGGTCTCATCTGTCCAAAGGACATTGTTGCGGAAGTTTAGTTGCGAGGCTTTCTCCTGACAACCCTTCCAAATAAAAAATACTTCTCTTTCTAATTATACTGACCTGAAGTTTAAGGGTTAAAGGCCTGTAGAGTCTGAGATTTAGCTCTTGGGTTTTTTGCAGTTTCTCTGAGGATTGCTCTGTCTGACCTTGGGGTGAATTTGCTGGGACGTTCACTCCTGGGAAGATGGACAGCTGTCTTGAATCTTTTCCACTTGTGAATAATCTTTCTCGCTGCAGAATGATGGACTTCAAATAGTTTGGAGATGACCTGATAACCCTTCCCAGACTGATGAGCACCAACAATAACTCTTCTAAGATCATTTCTGATGTCTTTCCTCCACTGCATCTGTCAACACTCATGTGGATACTCGAGACCAGCAAACTACCAAAACTTCTGGTTTTATAGAGTTGCTCACACTTGCAGATGATCAGTTCTAAGCATGTGTTTGATTTGCAGGACATGCTTGCTATTTACCCTCTGAATTCCTGTGGAAACAGCAGGGGCATACTTTTTGTTAAATAAATAATGAACCAATATAACATATTCATCTGAGGTTGTATTTAAATAATTTTAGATCCCGCTAAGCATCAGATTATTTTTCTGTTATGTACTAATACAAAAACAACCTTAAAGTGGACAGAGGGGATACTTTTACTTTTTCATGACTGTATATAGCTGGATCTAGTAGATTTTTAGACATCATTTCAGTCCGAATATGCGCAAAACAAACCCCAAAAATGAGGTAACAGCTAATTCCAATGTAATAATTTAAATTATCATTTGATGTTTCTTTCTCCCACCCTAAGTCAACAAAGATCAAGAAAGGAAGCAAAGGAGACACCAGTATGCTCCAGCCCACTCTGATGGCAGCGGTCCCGGTATGGCTTAATGCACTGTCCAGCATAGTGTTAGAGAACCATTACCATTAACAATAACAGTATCACTTACTGACTCACTCGACTTGAGTCTGTGTGTCAAACAATGCTGCTGGCTTGCGTTTGAGGCCTGTGCACAAGGTTTACTCATGGAATAGCAGTGATAGAGTCCAGCAGTCTTGGATCTGCTGGATCTTGGTCTGACGTAAATACATCCTACCAATGGTCAATGCTGCATTTAATCACCAGACAATGTTTGATTCCCAGGGGTCTAAGTTGAATATTTGTGGTTACCTAGTGCAGCTTGTCTTTGAAGTAAATTTTACTAAGTAATCCATTTCAGCAGTAAGGACTCCGAGATGGGCTTTGCTTACATTTTTTTTACAGTTTGTTTATTAAAGAACACCCCAAGGTAGTCAGAATATGTCAGAATTTAAGCTGCTGTAATCACGTGGACATTTTTAACATTTTACACAGTTAATGCAAAAAACTTTAATGTGAAATTAGGTCATTTGTAGCTACAAGTTGTTTGTTTCAGTCTTTTCACTTTCCTTTTACAACACTCAACTTTTGGTTTGGTAGAAATGCTGCAGATGGCTGTTTTAAGTGAAAGAGTCCAAAAACCTACCCCCCACTCCCATTTGCTCTAAACCAAAAACCACATTTAGTAGCTACTTGGTAGATGTATGATGTGTATGAAGTGATTATTATTAAAAGGGGGAAAAAATGATAGTATATGATGGACTAAAATTCAGACTGTGGCCTGAAACATGACTTCAAACGAATCCAAGTGTTCACGCTTTTGAAGGTTCTTCTGGTTGTAGTTTTATTGTGCTTTGCTGCAGAGAGATATTCATATAGTCAACAAAATTTAGCACTCTGTTCAGTCGTGTTGGAGAAACAGGGTGTCTACACGTCCAAAAGAAGTCTTAATTATATTGTATTTTACTGTTAAAGTGTCTTTTAGTTTGCATTTTCCATCTTGCAGTATCTTAATTTTCCCCCATTCTACAACCACGTCCTTATTCACAAGTTGTCACAGCGGGTAGCGCCACATGCTTGATTTGGAAGAGTTTTATGCTTGATGCTCATCCTGACACAACTCCAAAAGGATACGTGTCTCTTCCCGGGACATTCTACAAAATTCATATACTGAAATTGTGTTTTGGAGGCTGTAGTATTTTTGGAATACTTTAAAGTCCAATCCATGCTTCAATTCAGAAAGCTATAACAGCTATATCTACAGCCATAGTATGATAAATGTTATTTCTTCAAGTAGTCAATAAAAGTGGACACATACAGTTGTGGTCAGAGGTTTACATCCACTCAACATGGGCATAAAGGTCGTGGTAATTTGGGGGCTTTTAATTATTTCTTCATTGCTCTTTTTCTTCACTCACACATCCAAATCATTGAATTCAGATATTCTAGTCACAGGTGAATAAAATCAAGCACTTCTACATGCAGACTGCTTCTACAAACATTTGTGAAAGAACAGCTCGCTCTCAGGAGCTCAGTCAAGTCCAGCGTGGTACAGTGATAGGATACCACCTGTGTAACAAGTCCAGTTGTGACATTTTCTTGCTACTAAATGTTCCACAGTCAGCTGTAGGTGTTCCTGCTAAACACTGATTGGTGGATGTGTGATCATGTCTATATTGGGTCTGTCGGTCCCAATATAGATAGTATTTTAGTTAATCAACTCATTTGTTTGTAACCAGGTTAAAACTGTCATTTATTGAAATGTGTTGAAATATTAAATATGTTGAAATCTATGTAAAATAGTAATGGTTAGAGTATTTAGAAAATGTTTAAATTCCTTTTGCTCTTAAACTTATGAAACAGTGTGTTTTATAAGTTTAAAAGAGCATTTGCATTAAGTATCAAGTATCCTGTTTCATTGTGAATGCCTGGTGTTACAAAACAGCCCCTTCAGTGGGCCAAAATTGGAGGTCCAAAAATGACTTATAAAAGATGTCACTCCAACATCACTTTGTGCAGTGGGTTAATAACAAAGTGGAAGCAACTGGTATCAAGAACCACTCAGCCATGAAGTGGTAGGCCAAGTAAAATCACAGAGCGATGTTAGCAACAAACCTTCAAACTTCATGTGGTTTCCTAATTACCTCAAGAACGGTGTGTAGAGAGCCTCATGGAATGGGTTTCAATGTCTGAGCTGCTGCCTGCAAGTCTTATATCACCAATTACAATGCAAAGCGTTGGATGCAGTGGTGTAAAGCACGCCACCATTGTTGTCTGGAGTGACGAATTATGCCTCTCGGTCTCTCAATCCAATGAACGAGTCTGGTTTTGGTGGTTGCCAGGAGAACGGTAAAGTGTACAAGTTTGGTGGAAGGGCGATTATGGTGTTGGGTTGTTTTTCAGAAGTTGAGCTTCTCACTGAAAACCCTTTACCCCTCCACATATCTCTTATCATTGTGGCCACATAGCCAAGTCTTTATCTTGTCTCACCATAAAACGTCTCTCCAGAAGGCATCTAATCAGAATCAGAACTTTATTAATCCCAGACGGAAATGCGTGAGTGAAAGAGTGTTGTGAAATAAATTATTTTTATGCTGGCAAAGAGAAACTGCCTGTTACAATCATACATGGACAGCAATCTATGCAATCTTTTGATTCTGTGTAGAGAATTTGAGAAAAACCAAGAGAAATTCAAACTTATGCAGCCAATTCCTTTTTTCTTTTCTTTGCCTCATTAAAGATGTCTGGAAAAAGAACAGAAAAAAAAGAAAGCATTAAAAGCTCCAAATTAATATGACATTCCATAATGAGCAAATCTGTGTACATTGTGGCCTCAAAGTTCTTATCCTTTTTTAAAAAACTTTACCAGTTTGATGCCCAAGTTCACACTGTATTTACATGTAAATTGTTTTAACTGTATTATTAGGATGAAAAGTTACATTTGCTAACCTACCAGTTGTTCAAAAGTCAACAGACTGCTGATAACAGACTGATAGTCTCGGTACTTTTCCTCCATTCAGGATTTTGTTTTCCCATATCTTGTTGTTTGACTGTGACCATTGCCAATACTGAAGACGCCTGAAAATGAATGTCATCTAACAAGCTAGTTGTATTCAATACAGGATGCACTCTTCTCTCCCTCTCACTCACATGGAGAACACCCCCCACCCCCATCTCCCAGTGGTCGTAGTGTAAAGGCCAGAGGGCCCCAGTTTCTGGAACCATTCACAGCTGTAAACAGAACGTGAGAAAGCCCCATGTGGTTATCCCCACGACACGCACACACATACAAATTGTTTGCTGTGATATGACAGCAGGCGGCTGCATGGATCCTGTGTCGACTTCCTCTCTCACTGCTTCATGCACACACGTACACACACATGCACAAACCCAACAGGACCAGCTGGTTTTTATTGTTTTTTTGGTGGGAGGGGGGTTTGTTTGTGCCCTTTCCCCATTTCACCATGTCCAGCCTTTTGTCGACACTGATGTAGATGATGAAGTGCTCTTGATCTGTGGGTTTCTGTTCTCTGCACCACAGTCCCTTTGGTAATACAAATTGATACCACTTCCCATGATTGACATTGCTCTTCCTTGTACCGTCATGTTCCTAGTACCACTTCAGCCCATTTTTAGCAAAGAAGATATTTGTTGTGAATGTTGGGCTAAGGCATTTTGGGCATTGGAAAGAAGATAGTTTGAGCTGATATGACTGACAGTGGCTTAGTTACCCAGTATTAACAGAGAAACATGTGCATTCATTAGGACCTCCAAGTTTCTGGCCACCAGGCAGATTGAAATGTGATACTTCCTTTTTTTTAGTCTGTTCTTGGACTCCTGTGGAAAAATATCTGCATCCTCTGCTGCTTGGGCAGGGATAGCTCAGTAGGTAGAGTGGAGGCCCCATGATCGGAAGGTCGGGGGTTCAATTCCCCTGAACAGCTACCCTGAGGTACACCTGAGCAAGGTACCGTCCCTACACACTGCTGCCCACTGAGTGAATGGGTTAAATGCAGAGAGGGATTTTCCCCACGGGGACCAATAAAGTACACTTTCTTCTTAATGTTCACCAGCTCATTTCTAAGTCTGTCTGTTGTTTGGTGCTCAGAAAGTACTTCAGATGAAACTTAGTGTTAATCAGAATAGAGATGAATACAGATGCTCATTCTGGTGATAATTCTCCTGTAATGTATCAGTGAAAGCTGTTCCAAGGAAGTCCTAAATGTTTTGCTTTGTCGCTTATCTGGCATATTGTTATACTTTAAACAAAGGAGCTCAGAAGGAGCTGCTTTAGCTCACCTGGTTGAGCTGCTGCCACTGCAGGGGCCTGGGTTTGAGTCTGCTCCAATCCTTTCCTGTGTGTTGTCCCCCTACCGTTGTTCCCTACCTTCCTATCCAACAAAGGCTAAATGTCAAAAAATAAATATAAAAAAAAAACAATCTAATGTTTAGGGCCACAGTTAGTAGTGGGTTTACCACATGGTTTTGTTTATTCCAAAGAGAGATTCCCTCTTCTGGTTTGCTTTTGTTTTTGTTTTTTTTAGTTTTGTAGGTCACATAGAAATTAGAAACACATTAAATATCCATTGGGGAGCCTTATAGTTATGAAACCAGAATTGAAGAGCACACGTGCATGTGTGCTTGTGTTGATCTTTTCTTTTGTTTTATAAAGTTTCTTAAATATGAGATTTGGGGGTTTTGAACACATTAGTGTTTAGTCTTTTTTAAAAAGCAGGGACCATATGTCTAAGCCCACCCAACATGAAGGTTAACTCCTATTGTCGTCCTGTGACAGGGATATTGCTATCAGTGTATATGTTGGTTTAGATGTCAAACATTTCTGCACATTGATGCTGAAAAAACATGCTTAGGGTAACATTAGAACCGGTGTCATCGCATAGTCTGTCCAGCAGAGTGTGCTCCAACTTACAATGGCTGGATTCTTTTTCGTGCTTTCAAAAAAACTTTAATAAACTCTCATTGATTTATTTACCAAATGTTTCTAAGAAAAAAAAATATTGGCTTAGATATTTATATTGCGATCTTTTTGCACCATATAAACTTGCCCTGGTCTCTAAAATCCAGCATTTCTCAAGTTCTGCTTCGTGCCAGAGTTCAGATACATACTACTCTTCATTGCTCTGACTCCAGTATAATCACCTTTAATAATCACCACAGCTGTAAGTTCACTTATAGATTAAATATAAAAATTACATTTCTTAACCATCATTTTAGTCTTTTCTCTGTATCTGTATCAGTCTTAACTGTTGCTCTTATTGTTACCTTTTACATAATAATGCTCTTTTTCTTTTCACCCTGTCCCGCCTCCTGACTTCAGGAGATCATGGACCGTATCTATAAGAATGTGATGACAAAGGTCGAGGAGATGAACTGTGTTCAGCGAACACTCTTCATTCTGGCATACAACTACAAACTGGAGCAGCTCGCCAAAGGATACAGCACACCACTGTGTGACAGGTATGGAGACTTATATCACCAATTACTGTTGCATTTGCAGCTTGGACTCTCAAGGAATATTTAAAAGTCATAATTTCTTCATGTATTTGTTCTTTGTTCATCCAGACTGGTGTTCAGGAAAGTCCGCTCTCTGCTAGGAGGACGGACACGGGTGTTGCTTTCAGGTGGAGCGCCACTCTCAGCAGCCACGCAGCGTTTCATGAATGTGTGTTTCTGCTGCCCAGTGGGTCAAGGATACGGCCTGACAGAGACCTGTGGAGCTGGAACCATTAGCGAGTGTGAGCATGAATGGAAATCTTACAGTAGGCATGCCTACTGTAAGATTTGTAATGTGTGAAATTATTTTAGTTTGAAATGTGTAAAATTTCAAACCACTCACAAATTAGAAAAACGAAAACATTTTATGTCATTAATTTTTACCCCTCAGCCCTAAAAGGCTGATGATGTATTGTCATCACCCCACCTAGTGAGCGGATGGGATGGACACCCAAGTTGATGAATATGAAAATTGATCAATCGAGAGTGAGCGGATGTAATTTTTCTAGCTTATACCAAAGGTGCATCTGTTAAAAATCTCACATGAGTTCAAATCTCTGTGACCTCAACCCATGTCAAGGTCAGAGGTCAAGTTTTCTGAAAATCACCAAGGACTTTAATATTCATACCACAGGTGTAGCTACTCAGAGGCTGAGTGTTAGCACTGCCGGTCATCAGTATTTTTAATGTGAGCTGAACACATTCAGTGTAAAATTCCTGTATCCTATTTGGCAACAATCAGTCAGATCACAGTTCCCATCTGTCTTGTGCAAATGAAAAAATACACTCACTTGTGAGTTTATTAGCTTCAACCAGTTTAACAAATTCAGTCCAGTACAGTCATGTTTTTTTTAACTGTTTTACACATGCTTTGATTCAGCTGTATGATCACCAAGTGCATTGGTATCATTGTGACACACTCACAGTTGTGCCTATTATTCTGCTGACCCTATTTTTATAAACGAGGCTAGACTAAACAAGGGAAATGCCTCACTACAATGGTAGTAGACTGTAGTAGCTACTGCTAGGTGTACCTAAAAATCTCAGCATAGCTAAAGCTACAGACCTCCTTTAGTGATCATAGAGGGAGAAATAATTTTAAGGTCACATTTTACTATTGTGCTTTATGGATACCGAAATGGGCAGCGCTACTCCAGGTTGCCCTGTAAATCTGCAGGGCATTTAATAAAGTCACAGACAGGACCCCCGCTTCATAAACAGCTGGAAGCAACACTCCAAACCACTGTTACGTTATGCTTAGTCTGTGTGCAGTGGAAGACAGACAAACAGAGGGACAGACACTCTTTATGTACAGTATTACACTTTATTGCTGATTTTATCATGATATGTAAGAATAAAAATGGGATATTGCCAATATTTTAGGCATCCTTAGAATTTCACAAATCACATTTTTTCAGGCAAAATTGCTAGCTTGTTGTGTTTATTTGTTTATTTAACAGGGACATTCCATATTACTGGATATCAATGTGAATACATAAGATGTAAACATGCTGGGCTTTAGTAAAGCTGCTAATTTACATCTATAGAGCCCAGGCACGTAACATAAAAATATACTTACTACCAGTTTTTCCTCAATTTTCCCATATTTTTCCAATCAAATCCTGGCACCCTCCTATTTTGTGGTTTTTCCCCATGAAATTCCCGTCAACTTTGACAGCCTGAAAGCAGAGATAAAAACAGGGGGAGAACACAAAGAGGGACAGAGGCCTTATAGCCAGGATGGGAAAATGGATAAGAGGAAAATAATTAGTAGATATACAGTGCGTGGGTTGCAGTAAACAAAAAAAGGGAGTATATTATCTGTTTTCAGCAGAGTGGTGTGGAAAAATCAACATTAGTAATAAGTCACGCTACACTGAGACCCTATCAAGTTTTTTAAAAAAAGGAAAGAGAAAAAGAAATGAATATGAAATTTTATGAGTTTTGTAAAAGAAAACAGAAGAAAGAGTGAGAGTCTCCATTCCCTCATAAACATGAAGACCAAGAATGTTTCACATAACTACGGTGCCAATGTCTGTCCCAATAATCAGATATGAATTAATCTATCTGTTCCACTGCCAAAGCATTTGCGAAATGTAAGAAACCCTATCAGCCTTTCCCAGGCAGACCAGACCAACAGACCCATCAAATCCACTGTGGTCAGGAGTCAGGAAAACACTGAGTTGCGAACACTCCTTAGGGATGGGGTTTCCATGGCGAGGGAGCAAGTCAGGTCGTGTTGCTATGGCAATAAATGTTGTGCCTTGATGCTAGTGTGCTCCCTGATATGTGCATGTGTCTATGTGTGTTGTCTGTTCTAGTGTGGGATTACAGCACTGGGAGAGTGGGAGGACCACTGGTGTGCTGTGAGATCAAGCTTAAAGACTGGGTGGAGGGTGAGTGAGACTGGGAGAGGCACTACGCACATATACACACACATTTTATGATGGTATAAACACGGTCATTTGCATTCATATTCAAAAAAACATCAGTCTGCATGTTTTGTTTCTTTATTGGTCATCACATACGCACTTGATCCAACACTTTCTTTCACATTTCCCTGCCTGGTGGGACTTTGAGCATTGCTCTGTAACCTTGTAAGGACAGCACTGGTCTCTCCACTTTTTACGTAAGGAATCATAACTCACTTTCATTGCACTCTGTTGAAGTTTTGATACTTATCGAGTTGAGTTTATTCCTTGCAGAGTAAAAATAGAATTTTAAGTAAACATACCATCTGATTTTTGGGTTTTTTTTGTTTCTCAGCAGTGTTATGATGTAGCAGATTCAGTCCAATAAATGTTTTTTCATTTCTAATCTGCTGATGCTTTTAGGTGGGTACCGTAGCACTGACAAGCCTTATCCCAGGGGAGAGATTCTCATTGGTGGGCCCAACGTAACGATGGGATACTACAAGAAGGATGCGAAAAACCAAGAGGACTTCTTTGTAGACGAGAACGGCCAGCGTTGGTTCAGTACAGGCGACATTGGAGAGTTTCAGGAAGACGGCTGTCTCAAGATCATTGGTGAGGAGGCATGAGGAGGTGTGTGTGTGGGTGGAGTGTGTAGAACGAGAAGGTCTTATCCTGGTTTTTATCGCCACTAAGTCTGAAGCTCACATTCTCATGCTGTTGCCCATGTTGTGACTCTCATGCTTGGTCTTGTTCCAGACAACCTTTCATCTCCACTTGCCATTTTTCAGTGTGTCAGAAAAGCTTTTAACAAATCACATTTTACTTCGCATCCTACACTCAACAAAAATATAAACGCAACACCTTTGTTACTGCTCCCATTCCCCATGGGATGGACGTAGAGACCTAAAATTCAAAATTCAAAATCCAGATACACAATATAACCATCCCTCCCAAACAGTGGTCACAAATCAGTCCAAATGTGTGGTAGTGGGCACATCTGCTATATTGAGATAATCCATCCCACCTCA